TCTAGTTATAATGGAAAATCAGAAAGCAAATGGACTTGGTAGTTTTCTTTAAGGTTAGCAATTTCAATTCCAATTCTTCTCATATTATGATCCATCTTTTTGGAGAACCTGTCTCAATGTGTGGTCTTTCCTTGGAAATAGGGTTCAATCCCTGTTTGCACTGCTTATGATTATTGGTTGATAATTATTTCAACTGATTATTGGTAATTTATTGAAATTACCTGGTCAGTGTTTTAGTGCATTTGGTAAAATCATATGTGCGTCAATGCTGGACCTACTTGCTAATAAGTAAGTTTGATAATTGATTATTGAGGAAATCATGGTAAATACGTCGGTGAATAACCAATAATCAAGTAAAAATTTTCACTTTTATTTCTCAAATGCTTGTTTTATCAAATTGGGCAAAGCTGATTTTGTTCCAGTTTCACTAATGTGTATATTTTAGGGTGCTGACATTCGGATAGTGCATGATGACTGCAGTTCTCATAGTAATGTCTGGAACAATTTCAAGTAGATGATTTATAGACTTCTTTTTCCTCTTCATTTTCTTTTATGATATTGTAACTTTTCCAAGTGAATGATAATGAAATTTTAATCGAGCATTGATAAAGAAATATATAAAAGAATGCCCAAAATATATAGCCCAATTTCTTTTTTCAGTTTTTAGATTAAAAAGTATCCCAACATAACCATTACCAATACATACACTCGACGTCGAGTCGTGCAACGCACGTCCGACACTAGTTCTAATAAAAGCTTTACTTATGAATAGTTTGTATATACACGAATATTCAAAGTTCACTTTTCTTGACTAAATTCTCATAACCTAGACTGGACCGACATTATGAAATAGAACGGATTTATGTTACTTGCAAAAGAAATGGCCAAAGAATTGCAACCTCGATTTGATCAGAAGGAGACAATGATCTTAAATTGGATAGCACCACACAACATTAAAAAGGGGGAAAAAATGCTAATATCTTGTTCATTGCACGCCAAACTTAAACTCGAAGTCCAGCACTCGAGATTGTTTTGTGTTCTCTCTCTTAATCCTCGCATTAATTGTTCGACTCATGTACAATAATGCAATAGCTTGCAACACACCTTTAATACCAATCATTGAAAATCATGAAAACTGTTAATAAGAATTATGTTATAGGGCCCGGCTCAATGACCGGGCCCAAATATAAGGCGCTGAGGTGGCGCCCTCACATTGGAGGGGGGGCTGACCTCCAATAACAAGGCGCCACCTCGGCGCCCTGTCAATAGCCGGGACATTTGGCATAATTCCTGTTAATAAATGTCCCATATCTAACTGTTCAAATGAGAAGACACACAACTGATTTACGAAAATTGTGCACAAAATAAATATAAATTTGATGATTTTCCTAATCACTGAAGCAAAATGAGCATATTTGAATTTTGGGTTTTGAACTTTTTAAAATTTTTAATTCATTCATGGGTACTAATTAATTTTTTTTAAAAATCTATATAGAAATTTTGAATTTTTTAATATATATACATAATACATACATATATATTTCACCCTTAAAAATTTTTTTGTCCCCCTACACGAAAAGTCTGATTCCACCACTGCACCCAAGATCTAACTGAAAGGTGCAGACAGCAGACAGATTAAGTAGCCATGGCATGAACTGATGCTTGCACACAAAGGCAATTTGTTGCATTCTGAGAGTTAAATTTATATCATTTTAAATCATTCACAAAAGGTTTATACGAATTTTGGACATCAATATATTTATCGAAATTAGGGCCAGCCCCATCATGACATTGAGAAATTACAATGCGGTCTATTACTCGACTTCTCTTTAAATTTTTTTGAAGAAAGCCAATCGAATATTAATTCATAAGTCCAATTAATATATACTTGATAAATGACAAAGAAATAATATAAAATAAATCTTTACCACTGTTAAGAATTGAGGTTCCATCTTAAAAGGTCAACATTGTTAAGAGGAATAACCAAAACTCTTATAAATTGGTCTATGTTTTCATCTGTATTCGATATGAAATTTTATCTCTTAATTTGTCCCCGCAAGATGGTGACTCGTTTAAGTATGTCAATCTTGAAATTCGTGTGCTCAATTTTTTTGAGTCTTAATCGGATCGAATTGCTCATTGAAGTTTAACGGGCTCTGATATCATTTTAAGAATTGAGGTTCCACCTTAAAATGTCAACATTGTCAAGAGGAGTAGCTCAAACTCTTATAAATTGATCTATGTTTTCATCTTTATTCGATGTGGGATTTTATCCCTTTATAACCACATCATAGTGACAATTAACATAAAATCTTAAAAACTTTCTTTCTTATTTTAGTCAACACTTTTAACAATTCATGGATTTCTGAGAGAACTCTAAAAAGGATACGATTCTTGGAAGAAAGAATATGAAATGCAGCATGGTCCGAGTTGTTAAAATTTATTAAATCGATCGAAATATAAAGTGTGAGGTTCAAGCATATGCGCCATTTTATATTTGTTTCCCAGATTCTGCTATGTTGCTGCTGTAGGTGAGTTGCTGGTCTTGCTGTTGAACAAGTGGAATATTTCAACACTCCCCCCCCTCCCCCCCCTCAAGATGGAACATCTTGAACCATAGAAAGAAGAGTAGAGATGCAATCAAGGAAGTTCCTTGTTTCGAATCAGTTTCAGTTTTCTTCAATTCCATTTGTGGTCTTGAGCAAATGGTGTTTTGTCAGGAGACACTTTGTCTGCCTTTTCATGGTTTATCTTCCTTCTCTTTT